GAGTCTCTAATTGAGTTATTGAGGAAGGAAGGAAGGAAGGAAGGAAGGAAGGAAGGAAGGAAGGAAGGAAGGAAGGAAGGAAGGAAGGAAGGAAAATCTGAGTCCAATTCATGTCATCTCAAAATGAGTACATTTTGCCTATTGTTTCCAAATATTTGCAAGAAAACCAGCATTTAGTTTTGTACGCAATTTACAGCCAATAAATAGTTTTAAAAAGGACATTATCAGCCCTTGAATTATACCTCTTCACTTCTCTCAAGCATTATATTTTCCAATACCCAACTTTTCTAATGAAAAAAAGAAAATTCCTTCTATTTGCTTACTGTTTATATCATTTTTAAATATGTTGAAATCTCTAATATAATTTTAGCATTAAACACAATTTGGGTCCAAGTAATAATTGCTTTCTTTATCAATCCATCTACAAGATAATTGGTTCTCACTAAAATATTAATTTGTAGTTTAATCTGTGTGTATTTACCTAGGCCTAAGATACATTTGGAACATACTTCCAGTTACCATGTTCAGGACCATAGAAAATATTAAAATGCTGGTTTGTTTCTGGATTATCTTTGTTACATATTGCTATTTTAACTAGGCTCGTTCAACTTAAATGAAAAGATGGACCAAGAAATGTAAATGTGGGTAATGTCTCTTTATTTCTTACCTTTCTTGGAGTCTCCATCACCATAGCAGCTTAATTTTCCTTGATTACAAGTGCTGAGTAAAAGAAATAGGAATGATTATTGTGTCCAGATTATCTGAGAATTCCTAAAACTTTTTTTTTAGTTGAAAAGCTGCGGATTATCAATTCTACCCTAAAAAACACTTCAAAGGCAGAGTAGCTAATATAATCTAGATATAAGATTAAGTATTTAACATTTGTGGATAAACTTGTAAATGAAATAAATCTTAGCTCTTCCAAACTCTGCACTTTATGATGTTAAGCAGTGTCATTATATCCTTACAGCAAAACAAACAAACAAACAAAAAAACCAACCTTGGGACCAAATGAAAACATTATAGACTGACACTATTCTATCTATTCTTGATAATCAAGCTTACTTTGTAACTTAAAATCCTCTTACCACTTAACGCCATACTCATGGTAAACATCACCAGAGAGCATGGTTCTTCCTTTGTAATAGCAGGGACATTTGTTAGCAGGCACACATATTTCAGAATCATCCATATAAGTTCCAGGTTCACATGTACAGCCATCAACTGGGACAAATTTGATGTTGCAAGTAATATCAGGTTCACTCAGTGATTTGCAAGTAGGTTGGCAAGAACTAATTTCATAGCTATAATTCAGGGATTTGGGACAGATAGTATCTTTGGCTTGAAGGAAGAAAAAGAAATAATAGTTATTGTACATTATTTAGCTGTTGATCTCAAGTCTTTGACAAAACTAAAAGAGAAAATAAGAATACAACACAGAATATGTGAATAACAACATACACAGAGCCACATCTGTGCTGAAAGCAGAAGAAAGGAACCAAGATCCATTCAGAACAATATTTAGTGTTTAGAGTTTATTTACAATTCAACACAATCATAAGAAAATATATAACATACTGCAGACTTAAATAGACTCAGGAGAGAGCAAATAAGCAGTCAAATAATTTGCTTTTCCAGTCCAGGTTAAATAAGACTGGCCCAATTTAAACACAATTGCGGTGTCATTTCAACTAGAATTGCCAATAGGGAATGACCACCTGAATTAATAATATCACATTAATTAATTAATAATTAATTAATAACAGTGAATAACAACAAGAAAATATATCACATATTGCAGCCTTAAAAAGATAATAATGAAAAGTTATGAGAAAAGCCTGGAACAATTTATACTGTATGAAATGCACCAAAAATGTTTTTAAGCCATATCTATTTGCAAACACCATTCCCTTCTAGCACCGGTTAACTAGTTGGGTACTAAAAGATCTATATGAAAACAACCAAGTCAGAGAGCACCAAGGATCCCCAGTGCTCTTCAGGCTGGTGTTTTCAGCTTAAAGTGTGGTTGGAGCTCCTGTCTTTCTATAAATCTTGGTGTGTGTGTGTGGAGTGTTGGCTTTGTTTCAGTAAATGGATTGATTGGCTGTGTGGTTGTATCATGATTGGTAGATTAGTGCTGATTGGTGCTGGCTGTGTGTCCGTTGTTGTTTTGTATTGTAACGGCCTGGGTGGTGGGTGGGACTCGTTTGTTGACTAGGGCTGGTTTCCAGATGTCTGGTAGGCGGGCGGTATTGTCACGTTAATTCATGTTGTGGGGGTGTTTCTCTATTTCAATGGCTTCCATAATTATTCTCTTGTTGAAGTGTTCAGTTTTGGAGATTAATTTCATGTCCTGTAGCTTTAAGGTGCTGGAAAAGGGAGGAAGTTTTTTTTCTTTTTCTCTGACTGCGTTCCTGTGTT